CTTATGATCCCATTTGGGTTGGGAATTGGAATTGCGTTCTTCACATCGCGGCAGCTTTCCTCTGTCACCGTTTACCGCCTACCCTTTCCATTTCCGCACAACAAACTAAAATAGGATCTAGGAATGCTAAATCAGTCGGTCACTGTTTAACGTTGTCGACGATGCCGACAGACCGATAGTTGTCGGAGACCGCTGGTCACGCCACAAAAGGGGAACGGGCTCACGTAGGTCATAGGTAGATCGCATATCATCTTTTTGGGGTGTGAGTAGACATTTAACCAAAGGTAAATCTCCAAAGTAATTAACTCTATTTAAACAGGAAAAAAAATTACATGGGTTTAATGTAAGGAAAACTAATGAAAAGAGTTTGAAAACTTTGAGTTTTAACGATAAGAACAAAATAAAATGTAAATTGAATAGTACCAAGATTGACCTTTTAGTGTACAAATGTGGTTTTTCGTTAAAATGAACAGTACCAGAAGTTTTTCGTTAAAATTTCCTTCAATGGACCTTGTGCCAAGTAGGGGACATCAAAGGAAAAAACCAAACACATTATCCTAGTTCCATGATATTATCAAAGTTTTCATTTTTTTTCTTTGTGTTTGTCCCACCATGGGGGGAGTTGGTGGGATTTGCCCCAAAAGAAACCTTCAGAAACTTCTGCAAACAAAGATTGTACGTAGTGATGATATAACGTACTTTCTCCAACCATCTCGATTAACTTCTGAACTTGGTAAATGAAATTAAGACCAAATAAGTTCTTGCCAAAACTAACGTGTGCATCAAATTCACGTTACTTATTCACAAGCTAACGTGGACACCAATTCACATTACTTTTCCGAATATGGAAAGGGACATGAGAACTAACAGAAGAGAAAATAACTGGTCGAAGCCACCAAAAATTAATGAGAGAAGAAGACGACATGCAACTCCTACTAAACCCTAATAAATGGGGCAGTTGGTTGTTTAGTTTGAAACGATTAAAGTCGCAAGTAGTAAAGATTGCCCCATTCCTCTAAGAAAAGATATAATGTTTGTTTTTTTTGTCAAACGAAAATTTTTGTTAAATTAAATGTTAGATTAGCTACCAATAAGGTTTGAACCCATGCTGTTATGCAAGGGCTCAATACCTTTTCACTACTGTGGTAAATGACCACTTGCGACATAATGTTTGTGTGCGATGGTAACAATATATATACTACACATTTTCTAAAGAGTACTTGATAAGTTTGCATTAATTTTAAGTATTAACAAATAAAACACGTAATTCAATATTAATAGATTGTAAACCTTTATGAAAGTGGTTTAAAAATAATCTAAATCGTTTTCAGCTCCCAATAAACGTTTTTAAATGGCAAGAAAGTTCAAATTTTTTTTTTGTTTAAAAAATCACTAAAATTGTTTTATTTTAAAAGTAAAATTTTTATTAAAATTTTTAACATGCTCTAATTAAAAGCTTAACACTTTTACGTAAACTGATCCTATAATACCACCTAATAGAGTTACAGGGACCTTAAAATTTTATCAACTGTCTCTCATTGAATTAACTTAAAGTACAAACCAATGACCAGTCCAAGCTATGCACCTCTTTGTTTTCAGAGTTTGCACGCACTCACACACTCACATGTATATCCTATCTTATAACAATTTTTGTCACAAATGATCTTGAAATTGATACATCAAATCAAGATGATCATTAAAATTAAAAAAATTTCAATAAATGCTATAGATTAATATCATCCATATCTAGAGACTACATTGAATTCAAGCACCTATGTTTAAAAATTACATTAATTGATTTTCGATTAAAATAAAATCATCTTAATTAAATGTGTCGAGACATCTTGCGATAAAAAACCAACTCATATTGTTTCTTGTTCACTCTCATGCACCTGCATTGTCTTGAGTCCCTACATGGCCTGCACGTGTCCTAATCGATATCGATGAAATTAAGTATCAATGAAATTAAGTGAGCGAGCCTGGGGCAGTTGACGTAATTGAGTAGTCGACATGCAGGTGGAAGTCTTACTTATGGACCCATCAACTTTCAGTACATGGTACATTTTCCTCTATAAATGTGGAATCTATTTGCTATTGTTACCACATTCACTAGCTCTGAGTTACTTTCTTTCTTCATCCATTAGCTTTCTATTCCAATATTTTCAGTCTCAATGGGGTTCTGTCTCCCTCACATCCTTGCTTTTCTAACTGTAAGCTTTCTAATTTTGATATATTACTTTTTGATTTCAGTTGATTTGCGTTTGCTTCCGTGCTGATGAGGGTTTAAATATTGTTAATTTGCAGCTCACACTGGTAGCATGCCATGCTGCTCTACCACCTCAACTTTACTGGAACTCTGTCTTGCCAAACTCAAAAATGCCAAAAGCTATCAGTGAACTTCTCCAGCCCGCAGGTTAGTATTAGAGTCTCAGAGAAGCTCATATATTGTGTATTCCTTAGACAATAATTCTATTTAGACATATAAAATTTACACCATTACTGACACTCTCGCTGACGAGTTTAACCATCGTATACATGTAAGAAATGCATCTAAATATTCTCTAAAAGTGATATAATCCATTGTAATAGCAACAATTTAGTATTATAAAAGATGAAGGGATGGAATAGCTTAAATGTTCTCAGTGATCATTGGATTGTGGTCTTGGTATACATGTACTTATTTTCTCACATGTGTAAAAAAAAGCCAAAATATAAGAAGTCAATTTCAAAACAATCGGTCAACTTTTTATAAACTTTTCTCTTGTGTGATTAACTGAAATTTCTGAAATCAAGTGGTTGATGCGTTCTTAATACCTTCAATAATTTGACTTCACAATTGTGCGTATCTGCTGATAAACTTAATGGCACTTAGCTATATGATCTTATGTTGTTAAAAATATAATTTGACTTCAAAATTATGAATATGTGCCGATAAACTTGACTGCACTTTTAGTTTTAGATATATGATCTTAACAGTGAATCCCCATATTTTCTATATATGATCCGAATATTCTCACAAATTTTAAGCTAAAATTTTGATGTTCTACCTCTTCTCACTTGTTCTATATTTATGTTTGCTAATTTGCAGATTTCACAGAAGATAAGAGCACCTCTGTTGCAGTAGGAAAGGGTGGTGTCAACGTTGATGCTGGAAAAGGAAAGCCCGGAGGCACCCATGTCGATGTTGGGAAGGGTACTGGAGTGCATGTGGACGCTGGAAAGGGAAAGCCAGGCGGCGGCACTAAGGTGAACGTAGGAGGCAAAGGCGGTGTTGGGGTGAACACCGGGAAGGGAACCAACGTTGGTGTTGGCAAAGGAGGAGTGTCCGTAAACACAGGGCCCAAGGGAAAGCACGTGTATGTTGGAGTAAAACCAGGAGAGAGCCCTTTTGTATACAAGTATGCAGCCACGGAAACCCAACTCCATCAAGACCCAAACGTCGCTATTTTCTTCTTGGAGAAAGACATGCGTCCTGGAACAACAATGAAATTGCACTTCACCACGAATTCAAACACACAAACCTTCGTGCCGCGCGAAACTGCGGAATCCATCCCATTTTCGTCGAACAAGCTGCCAGAAATCTTCAACCAATTTTCAGTGAAATCGGGTTCTGTGGAAGCGGATATAATCACTGGTACGATTCAAGAGTGCGAGAATCCAGCCATTAGAGGAGAGGAGAAATATTGTGCTACCTCTTTGGAGTCCATGATTGACTTTAGCACTTCCAAGCTTGGAGGAGGAAATGTTCGAGCAATTTCGACAGAAGCCGGGAAAGGAGCCACTCTGCAGAAGTACACAATAGCTTCTGGAGTGAAGAAGTTGGCGGCGGATAAGTCCGTCGTGTGTCACAAGCAGAACTATCCCTATGCTGTTTTTTACTGCCATACAACAAAAACAACCAGAGCTTATGTGGTGCCCCTTAAAGGTGCTGATGGGGTGAATGTTAAGGCAGTAGCAGTCTGCCACACAGACACATCAGATTGGAACCCTAAACATTTGGCCTTCCAAGTCCTCAAAGTCAAGCCGGGAACTGTTCCGGTCTGCCATTTCCTTCCCAGTGATCATGTTGTCTGGGTTCCAAACCAGAAATCTACATGATTTGACTGATCAAACCTTCAGTTCTACATATGATGATGTGATCAGCTTAATTAGCATAGTTTGCGTGGCAACAGTTTAAATTAAATCGACTGTCGATTACTTCTTATTGTCACTATGTATTTCAACCTATGTATAAACTCATAAATGAAGGCATGCTATCGTGTGGACTTGTACCAAAAGCATGCTATAGTGGACGTGCTCTACAACATTCAGTAATAGTTATATATGCTTTGACTCTGCGGTGCCAACTGTCCATTGGTTCAGTATTGAATTGTGGTGCTACTATATGCATGATACACAGGTTACATCTCTTTTGTCTTAGGAGAGGGAGGGTGTTGAGTATGTTGAGAGTGTAAATCACATGTCAGATATTTAACGAATTTTGTATGTGCTTAAAAGGAAGTGTAACCTCAATTTCTTTACGATCTAATCAAAGCAAGAGAATGCCAAGAAGCTAAAATCCTAAACCAAGGGACACCTCATAACAAAGGGAAGTTTCATTTGTACAAATAAAAATCCACAAAAAACCTTGCCACAAAAATACAAATTAAAAAAAAATCAGGGCACTATTGCATGCTTCAAAATTAAAGAAAATTTCAGGCTACTGCATGCTCTTGCTTTCCGGGGTTTCCCCACAAAGTTTTTCTGTTGACAGGTAGGCCGACAAAATAATGAGAGCTTCACACCAGGCAATGGCAAGGTCTGCATGTTTTACACCTAATCCCAACAAATTTGGTAGTCCACCTTCTTACTTCCCTATAAAGATTGAACCCATATGCTATTGTTTACCATATCTCTCTTGAGTTTTCTTGTTTCATCTCAGTAATTTTCATTTGTGTTGCAAAAGTTGAGTCTTTATGGGGTTCCTTCTCTCCAGATTCTTTGCTTTTCTAACTGTAAGTAAGCGCTGTAATTTTGAATCCTCCCTGTGACTGGTTAATTTGCGCTCTTATGTTTTTGCTAATTTCATTTTCTTTATCTCTTACTAATTGTGCGAGTTTAATTGCAGCTCACACTGGTGGGAGTCCATGCTGCTTTACCTTTGTCACCTCAGCTTTACTGGAATTCCAGTCCTGTCAAACACACCAATGCCGAAAGCTATCAGTCAACTAGCCCAGCGCGGTTAGTATATATGTACAACCTCAGATTGGCTTCAAGAACTCATTTCCACAACCAATCGTCCTTGTGATTTACACAGGTTTTCACTTTCGCACGAGAAGAAAATGAGGCAACAACCACGGAACAAGCTTGGCTGTTGCTAGCCTAGTGATTGCTAATTACGTGACAAAAAGTTAAAAAATCGCACCAAAAAGTAAAAAATTATGACATACTGTTTGTCACGCTTGTAGGAATAGCTACCCCAGAAACAATCACCTGGCTCCGTGGCTATTTCCCTTTTTTCTTGCAGTGTTCGCATGTAGCTCTTGTTTCTACTTTGTATAGTTGGAAGAATTCCATTTTGAATTTATTTGCCTTTGCTTAAAATGAAGTTGCGGTTTTTGAAGAGTATTCTTCGGGATTTCTAAATCTATTTTTGACTTCGATTTTTCATGTTCATATGATAAAGTAATTGAGTTAAAAAAATAAAAAAAATAAAAAGAGAAGTTTTTTACTTAAAATGGTTTTTATGATTTATATAACTCCTTATTGGACAAACTCAAAAACTACTTCTACTAATTCTCATTATTAAGACAAAGGTGAGGAGTTATATTAATCTCAAATACCATTTTGACTACAAAAAGTAGAATAAATTACGTTTTCCCTTAATGATTTTGACTAGCTAGCTACCCAAAAATAACAACCATCGTATGAAAAGTTTGGCTAACATATCTTGTTGTCCATTTATGTTGGTAAATCCGCGGACTTCATTACTGTTGGCAAAGGGGGAGTTATCGTTCACAACCAAGTTGCAGATGTTGCAACTAACATTCAATATCTTTACCGGGATGATTCAACTGAAAGCAAAATGTTCGGCTACAAGCAAGATGCAGCTGAAAAAGTAAAGACTTACAAAGATGCAGCTGAAAATCTAACACTTGAAGACCCAACTCGAGTACTTTTCTTCTTGGAGAAGGACATTCATCCTGGCACAACAATGAATTATCGCTTATCCGGAAATTCAACCAGAGAAACTTTCCTGTCCTGCAAGACCGCAGAGTCCATCCCCTTCGGTTCAAGCAAATTGGCAGAAATTCTTAACCAATTTTCAGTGAAACCGGGGTCTTTGGAAGCCGACATAATGAAAGAAACATCCAATATTGTGAAGGGGTGGCCATGAGAGCCGAAGAAAAATATTGTGCGACCTCTCTAGAGTCGATGATTGACTTCACCACCTCCAAGCTTGGAAGAAATAATATTAAAGCAAGCAATCACGACGGAGGTGGAAAAAGGAGCTACTCCGCTGCAGAATTACACAATAACCCCTGGGGTGAAAAAGCTGGCAGGCAACCAACTTCTTGTGTGCATAAGAGCAATTTTCCACCCCTATAAATAAATACGCCAACATTCAGCTCATTTAATCCATTTAATGAACAGTGATAGACTCCAATAAACAGTAATAGGCCAAATGCATATCTAGCCCTAAAACTAAATAGCCTAGTCAATTTTATTAAAATATTATTAATCTTTATTATAAAATAATAATTTAATTTTTAATTTCTAACATGATTCTTTCTTCTTCTTCTTCTTCCCACTTTTCTCAAAAGGGTCTCTCTGGACCCCCTTCTTTTATTTCTGCCCTGATTTTCCAATTGTGTGGTCAAGCACAGTTTCACCACTTTTTCTTCCCTTCTTCTTTTTCTTCTTTTCAAACCACCAAAACCGTTCCACTAACGCCCCGAAACTGTTCCTCTATAAAACGCAAACCCTGAACCCCCAATAAATCAGTTCACTTTCCCACCGCAACTCTCTCTGCATCTCGCTCCGTACACCCACCAAACTACTCACCACACCAACGTTCCCCAAAAATGGACCTCCTCTTCCTGAAAAAGACCGTTCTGGGTCTCTTCGTTGCCGTGATCATTACCATCGCCTTTTTAAAACTCCACGGCAAGAAATTCAAGCTCCCGCCTGGTCCCATACCCATACCTGTTTTTGGAAATTATCTCCAGGTTGACGACGACTTCAACCACCATAATCTCACCGACCTCGCCGAGAAATTCGGCGACTGCTTCCTCCTCTTCATAGGGCAGCGCAACCTCATCGTCGTCTCCTCGCCGGAGCTCGCCAAGGAGGTGCTCCACACCCAGGGAGTTGAATTTGGGTCGAGGGAGGCGTGGCGATATCGCCTGGCATCAGAATTAAGAATTTGTATATTGCATTGATTTGAATATTGGTACATAAGGTAAGACTTTATACAGAACCTACGTGCTATTCTAAGTAAACAGATCCTAGAATAAAGCTAATTATATTTACATCCTATAATTACTCAATCCCAAGAGTTGACAATTTCAGAAGCTACAATCGCTCTCAATCAGATCATGTGATTTCTTTTCCTTTAACACTCCCCCTCAAGTTGGAGTGTGGATGTCAATGACGCCCAACTTGCCTAGATGTGTATGGAAAATAGGCGCACATAGTGGCTTAGTAAATAAGTCTGCGACTTGCTCCCCTATTCTAACATAGAAAGTTTTAATATCTCCCTTTTGAACCCTCTCACGAACAGTGTGGTAATCGATCTCAATATGCTTTGTACGTTCGTGATACACAGGATTTGCGGCTATGTGTAAGGCGGCTTGGTTGTCACAAAATAATCTTGCTGGTTGGGGATGCTTAACTCGCAAGTCTTCCAATAAATATCGCAACCAACTTAACTCACAAGTAGCTGCGGCCATAGATCGATACTTCACTTCTGCGGATGAACAAGTTACTGTAACTTGCTTCTTGCTTTTCCAGGACACCAATGAGTTTCCAAGAAAGATACAATAACCAGTCACTGACCGACGTGTAATAGGGCAACGAGCCCAATTTGCGTCATAATAACCAATTAATTGTAGTTCACTTTGAGAAGGAAACATCAAACCTTGCCCAAGAGCTCCTTTAAGGTATCGAAGAAGTTGATGTGCTGCATCAAGATGATGTCGTTGTGGATCTTGCATGAACTGACTCAACGTGTTGACAGTATATGCTATTTCTGGTCTAGTGATGGTCAAATAGATCAACTTTCCAACTAGGCATCTATACTTCGCAGGTTCGTGAAGTGAACTGCTACATGTAGGTGATAGTACCAAATCTGCCTCCATTGGAACCTTCGTGGGTTTAGCACCCAACAATCCAGCCTCCTCCAATATGTCCAGTGTATATTTCTGTTGGTAAATTGTGATTCTAGCTTTCGAACGTGTGACCTCGACTCCAAGGAAATACTTCAGAGGTCTGAGATCTTTAATTCGAAATTGACTACTAAGGAAAGTCTTTAGGTTCTTAATTTCTGCCTCATTGTTGCCTGTAATCACCATGTCATCAACATATAACAATATAATGGTGAGTGAAGTACCTTGACTTGAGTGAACAAAGAGTAATCTGCCTTAGATTGGCAGAAACCGATGGTACGTATTGCCGAAGAGAACTCTCGAAACCAACTTCTGGACGCCTGTTTAAGGTCGTATAAAGATTTATGGAGTCGACACACGACATTCTCCCCTTGTCGAGGATAACCCAGGGAAGGCAACATGTAGACCTCATCTTGAAGTTCGCCATGGAGAAAAGCGTTGTGGACGTCCATTTGATGTAAAGGCCAATTGCGGACAGCAGCCACAGTCAAGAGGCAGCGAACGGTAATAAGTTTGGCCATCGGTGCGAATGTCTCCTTGAAGTCGATACCTTCACGTTGGGTGAAACCTTTGGCAATAAGACGTGCTTTGTAGCTTTCAAGAGTCCCATCAAATCAATACTTAAGTTTGAAAACCCATTTACAGCCGATGGGTCGTTGTCCGGGCGGAAAAGGAAAAAAACTCCAAGTTTTATTTTCTTCGAGGGCTGTGAGTTCAGCTCGTATCGCTGCAACCCAGTGGGGATTGTGACAAGCCTGCTTATAGGTAGTAGGCTCCACCAAGTGGGATATATGAGAAACAAAACGTTGATACCCAGGAGATAGGCATGAATAAGAAACATACCGATGCAGTGGATGACGCGTACTGGACATGGACCGCGAGGAAGACTCCGTGGGCGTGAGCAAGGTGGAGTGATGAGCCACATAATCTTTGAAGTGAGCAGGTGGTTTGGTGGGACGAGTAGAGTGGCGAAGTGAGGCAGTGGAAGTGATGGGTTTAGTATGAGAAGTGACGGGTTCAGGCGGTGGGGCAGTGGTGTCAGGTAACGTGGGTGCAGTGTGAGATGAAGGCTCAAGGGTAGGAAAGATAATATGTGGTGGAAGTAGGGATGAAGGCTCAGGGTTGGTTGAGGAAATGGGGTCCGTGTTGTGTGGGGAAACAATCACCGTTTTGGGGGAAGTGTAGTTATGTGTTGGATGAACAATGGGAGTAACATGCATGTCATGTGTTGGAGGAGCAATGAGAGGATCATGCATGTCGGTTTGGTTTATAGTGGGTAAGTGAGTATAAGGGAAGATATGCTCATGGAAGATGATATCACGTGAGGTAAAAAATTTATGGGTGGCTAGATCATATACCTTATAACCTTTTGACCAAAAGGATAACAAGGGAAAACACAACGACGAGCACGAACGTCAAACTTATTGGTGGGTGTAAGGTTGGTAGCATAACTAAGGCATCCAAAAACGCGTAAGTGCGTATAAGTTAGAGGTGTGTTGTGCAACAATTTGTATGGGGATTTATGAGAGAGAAAGGGTGTAGGTAGACGATTGATGAGATAACAAGCAGTTTGGATACTTTCCCCCCAAAATTTTAAAGGTAAGTTGGCCTGAAACCGAAGAGCACTGGCCAACATTTAAAAGGTGCCTATGTTTACATTCAACCACCCCGTTTTGTTGTGGTGTGTAAGGACAAGAATGTTGGAAGAGGTGCCACATGAGTCAAGATAAGAACGCATGGAAAGAAATTCACTACCATTATCTGCACGAAGAGCTTTAATGTCACGTTAAATTGTGTTTTGACCCAAGAGAAAAAGGATTTCAAAATCGCTTATGTGTCGGATTTGAAATTCATAAGATGTACCCAAGAAAAACGTGTCAAATCATCGACAATAGTAAGAAAATAGCGTGCCCCAGAGTGTGTTGGATTTCTGTGAGGTCCCCAAATATCACAATGAATCAAGTTAAATGGTGCAGTAGTTTTGATTTCACTATGATGAAAGGGTAAACGAGTTTGCTTTGCTAAAGGGCAAACTTCACAAATGTGTTTGGAATCAAATATTATTTCAACATTATTTTTCGCTAATGTAAGTAAAGGTGCAGATGATGGGTGTCCAAGGCGCTGATGCTATAGGCTAGTGGTATGATGAATATGGTTGGCGATGGTGAGCGTTTTGTCTTGGTGTAAGATAGTAGAGCCCATCAAAATGCTTGCCCAGGCCAATCACCCTCCTCGTATCCATGTCCTGCACAACACAAAAATCCGGATAGAATGTCACTATACAATGCAAAGCTCTCGTCAATTTACTAACAAACAATAAGTTGACACGAAACTTTGGGACATAAGAACTTTATCAAGAGATAGATCATGTGACAATTTTACAGAGCCAATATTTTTTATTTTTGCTTGGCCCCCATTTGGTAAACCAACGGAATCATGCTGAGCATCAATGATGTTGTGTGTTGGTAGAGAATGTGATATATGATCGGTTGCTCCGCTATCAACAATCTAATATAGAGTCGAGTGTGAATCTGTGCGTGCTATATTGCATGTAGGCAAGAAGATACCTGTTGCGTTTGCAAGTGGTTGTTCATTACCATTGCGGAGTCATGGCAATGATCTAATTATACTCCTCGGTGGTAAACATAGGACCGTCAGAAGTATTAGGCTTGGTGATTGTAGTAGAATTGAGAGCCTCGGCATTGTTAACTGCCGATCTCTTATTCTTGGGATTCACGTTCTTGCCATGCCATTTGTGTCATTCGGGAAACCCAATAATGTAGTAGCAACGGTCCACCAAGTGTCCATCTCTGTCACAGTAGGTGCATTTAAGTGACTTACGTGAAAAGATGTTGGAGGGCTGTTTGTTGGATAACGATGGCGCTGAGATTCGCTGAACCTGCATTACATGAAAGTGCGTCCCCATATCTCAGCGACTAGTCACATCCATATGCCATTCATGTTGGAAAATGAGGCCATGAACTCGGCGTGTGTTAGGGAGTGGACTCATCATCGGAATCGAGCCTCGTATAGTCGCATAAGAGTCATTCAATCCCATCAGAAACTGCATAACTCTTTCTTTTTCTTCCCGTTCAGTGAGTCCTTTTAAGCCTGCAGAAGTGCAAGTTAATGGGTCATTGTAAGACGCTAACTCGTCCCACATGGCTTTCATCTTGGTGTAATAGGCAGAACCCGAGAGCTGCCCTTGATGATTTTCGATAATTTTTTGTCGAATTTGGTAGATCCTCAAGTCACTGCTCTGTGAAAACCTATCCTTGAGATCGTTCCAAACTGCAACATCAATTTTAGTGTACATAATGCTGCAGGCAATGTCTGAGTGGATTGAGTTCACAATCCATAGCGTTACCATGTCGTTGCATCTTTTCCAAGCTGCATATTTTGAGTCCGAGGGTGATGGAGCTTTAATGGTTCTATCAATGAACCCAACCTTGTTTTTTGTACTGAGACCTATGCACATGGCATGGCTCTATTGCCCATAATTGTTCCCATCAAGTGGTTTGGAAACTAGAATAAGCCCAGTATGATCCGAGTGATGTATGGCATATGGGTCTGAGAATTCCATGAGATTCTCATCTAGTTTCATAATTTTGGTTGGTTCTGTCATGGTGTTGGCAATGGTGTTTGTGAGAGATCTGTGGTGGTTATGGGAGGGCTACGGTGGTTATGGTGGCGGAAGCGTGATAAAGTCACCAAGATCTGTGCTCTGATGCCAACTTGAATTAAGAATTTGTATATTGCATTGATTTGAATATTGGCACATAAGGTAAGCTATTCTAAGTAAACAGATCCTAGAATAAAGCTAATTATATTTACATCTTATAATCACTCAATCCCAAGAGTTGACAATTTCATAAGCTACAATCACTCTCAATCAGATCGTGTGCTTTCTTTTCCTTTAACATGTTGGTCGGGCAAAGGCTCAGCATATTCTGAGCCGGCCTAAAGACCAGCTTGGGTTGGGTGCCAGCCTATCTGCTCGGCTGGAGTGGATCAACTGGGTGCCGGGCCAATAATTTGGCTGGGTGCCAGGCTAAAGGTTCCCGATGGAACTACTCTAAGATGATATATCCGTATGCCGTTTTCTACTGCCATGCAATTGAAAAAGCATGGACTTTTATTGTGCCTCTGGAAGGCGCTGAGAATTAATGAAACCAAGCTCGGAAGAGGTGGAAAAAGGGGTGCAGAATTACACAATAATTTCCCCTAGAATGAAGAACTTTTCTGCAGTCGACAAGAGCAGAGTCATTGTGTGCCACAAGTTAAGCTACCCATATGCTGTCTTCTATTGCCATTCATTTCAAAGGATTAGGGCTTATATGGTGCCTTTACAAGGATCTGACGGGACGACCGCGAAAGCAGTTGCTATCTGCCAAGCAGACACATCTAGATGGAACCCAAAAATCTTACAAGGTTTGAAAGTTGAACCAGGAACCGTTCCCGTTTGCCATTTTCTTTCTGACAGCGATATTGCCTGGGTTTCGAAACAGAAACTTTAGCTACCTGGCATGATCACTTGCCAAAGAGCTTCCCTGTAAAATGAATTCAATAAGAGCAGTTGCACCCCGTTATGTATGGTAAAAAAATCCCATAATTAATAATGGGATGTTACTTTCATCCCATTATCAATAACTTGAATGAAAACGATTGATCTCTGTCAATAAACTTACTAAGACCTGAATCATAAAGTACTTGCTACCGGTGCCATAAACTCTGTATTTGAAAAACTCTTCCTTCTTTATTCGTTATTGTATATGTAATACATATATGATCAGATTTGTATATGTATAGTTAACCTGGTTCCTCATGTGGAACTCCAGGTTGAGGGGTTACAAAGGAGGTCTACAAGTTTGCAAAAGTGAACCACACTCTATCACACTGAGGATTTGTTTGGGAATGATTTTGTTTGCAATATGGAATAAGTATTTACAAATTTGCTATAGTGAACCACAACAGTCAATAACATGACTAAAGTTTCTTTTGATAATCGTTTCGCTTTTTTTTTTTAGTTTTCCCCTCTAGTACTTGCAATATGAGAAAAATATATATGAAAAGAAACAAGGGTGAAGAAGTGAAGGAAAACTGATATAATGCATGTAGAAGAAAAATACAAGGAATGATACATAATAAAAAAAATAATTATTTTAAGTTATTTTCACTTTTAAGATTTTATTTTCATTCATTGTTCTTTAGGGTTAGTCTGTTTTGGTGCCCAAATAGCATAGGGGTATAAATGGCATTTTCAAAATGTAGGATGACTGATCATCGCTCAATAGGAAAGGTCGATAGTTGGATAAAAAATTAATGGATTTTAATTGATAAGCAAAATCACGATGACTACGCATAGTATTGAATCCGTAAGTGGTCTTATATGTAATCATATGCAAGATGACTTTTATAGAATACTTGTTTAACAAATAATATTATTTACACAAAAAAAATTAATATATTAAGTTTCATAATAAGTTAGTAATAACGTAATTATATAGAGTACTTGTTTTCGTTGAAAATAAGAAGCTCGATGTATCGGGAAGGACTCAATTGACTAGTCACTACATTAATGTTTAGTTTGAAACGATTAAAGTTGCAAATAGTAAAGATTGCCCCATTCCTTAAGAAAAGATACAATAGTTTATTTTTTTGTCAAACGATAGATTTTGTTAGATTAGTCACTAACGAGGTTTGAACTCACGCTGTTATACAAGGGACTCAACACATTTTCACTACTGTGGTAAATGGCTACTTACAACATAATTTTTGTGTGCGGTGGTAACAATATATATACTACACATTTTCTAAAGAGTACTCGATAAGTTTGCATTAATTTTAAGTATTAACAAATAAAACACGGTAATTCAATATTAATAGATTGTAAACCTATATGAAAGTGGTTTAAAAACAATCTAAAGCGTTTTCAGCTCCCAATAAACGTTTTTAACTGGCAAGAAAGTTCAAAATTTTTTTGTTTAAAAAATCACTTAAATTGTTTTATTTTAAAAGTAAAATTTTTAACATGCTCTAATTAAAAAGCTTAACACTTTTACGTAAACTGATCCTATAATACCACCTAACTTAGGGTACGTTTGTTGCACCGGACTGTTTCGGACTAAACTAGCTTCATGGATTAAGCTGGATTGGCTTAGACTAGACTAAGCTGGACTGACTTAATGAAGCGTTTGGTGCAAGTGTCAGACTAAAAAAGAGATTATAATATTATAATATTTAATAATATTTATTTTTAATTTAATATATCAATTAATATTTTGTTATTAATTTATCTTTTTCCCTATTTTTCTAGAACCCTCTCTTATCTCTTCATTCATTTTTTCTCTCCGCTTCTCCCTCCCCATTCCCCATTTCTCCCATTTTTGTTCCTTCTTTTTTTTTTTATTTTTTATTGTAAATCCTGTGCCTTTTCACTTCATCTTCTTCGCCTCCTGCCTCTACACTTCACCTCTCCCTCCTACCTCTTCACTGCCTCTGCACTTCACCTCTTGCCTCATTTTTTCCGATGAGTTGCAAATTTCTCGACGGGTTTTCCAACTAAACCTCATCGGGTTAGACGAGATTTGCACCACTAACAAACTCTTTCTCATCTTTGGTCCCATATTCGAGCTTTGCATGCTTGATCTGTCATGGATTCGAAAAAAACCCAAACTAGCCGAGACTTCCAAGCCATTTTCCAGCCACTTCTGACTACATTTTGGCCTCGATTCAGGTAGAATCGTAATCCCCTCTCTCCCATCTTCAATTTGGTATTTTATATGAAAATTGGTTGTGAAAAGCATCCCATGGTTTTCGAGGGTGAGTGGTCAAGGAGCAAGGCGAGGGGGAGAGAGGGGACAATCTTAGCTAGTCCCATGGTTTTCAAGGGGTTACGTTAAGACTAGCTAGTCCCAGATTTAGTCTAGGCGAGTGAGACTTAGTCTCATTAAACCTAGTCCCTGTCAGGAGCAAACATGGGACTCGACTAATTCTTAGTTTGCACGCATTCACACACTCAAATGCACATCCTATCTTATAACAATTTTTGTCACATATGATACACATCAAATCAAGATGATCATTAAAATGAAAAATTTATCAATGTAGTCGTTAAGTAAAAATGCAATAGATCAATATCATCCATATCTAGAGACTACACTGAATTCAAACACCTACGTTTAAAAACTACATTAATTGATTTTCGATTAAATTAAAACCATCTTAATTAGATATGTCGAGACATCTTGCGATAAAAAACCAACTCATATTGTTTCTTGTTCACTCTCATGCACCTGCATTGTCTTGAGTCCCTACATGGCCTGCACGTCCTAATAGATATCAATGAAATTAAGTGAGTGAGCCTGGGGCAGTTGAAGTAATTGAGTAGTCGACAATGCCGGTGGAGTGTTTCCAATGGACCCATCAACTTTCAGTACATGGTACATTTTCCTCTATAAATGGGGAATCTATTTGCTCTTGTTACCACATTCACTAGCTCTGAGTTACTTTCTTTCTTCATCCATTAGCTTTCTGCTCCAATATTTTCAGTCTCAATGGGGTTCTGTCTCCCTCACATCCTTGCTTTTCTAACTGTAAGCTTTCTAATTTTGATATATTACTTTTTGATCTCAGTTGATTTGCGTTTGCTTCCGTGCTGATGAGGGTTTAAATATTGTTAATTTGCAGCTCACACTGGTGGCATGCCATGCTGCTCTACCACCTCAACTTTACTGGAACTCTGTCTTGCCAAACTCAAAAATGCCAAAAGCTATCAGTGAACTTCTCCAGCCTGCAGGTTAGTATTAGAGTCTCAGAGAAGCTCAGATCTTGTGTATTCCTTAGACAATAATTCTATTTAGACATACAAAATTAACATCATTACTGACATTCTCACTAACGAGTTTAACCATCGTATACATGTAAGAAATGCATCTAAATATTCTCTAAAAGTGATATAATCCATGTAATAGCAACAATTTAGAATTATAAAAGATGAAGGGATGGAATAGCTTAAATGTTCTCATTGATCATTGGATTGTGGTCTTGGTATACATGTACTTATTTTCTCACATGTGTAAAAAAAAGCCAAAATATAATAAGTCAATTTCAAAACAATCGGTCAACTTTTTATTAACTTTTCTCTTGTGTAATTAACTGAAATTTCTAAAACCAAGTGGTTGATGCGTTTCTGATACCTTCAATAATTTGACTTCACAATTGTGCATATCTGCTGATAAACTTAATGGCACTTAGCTGTATGATCTTATGTTGTTAGAAAATATAATTTGACTTCACAATTATGAATATGTGCCGACAAACTTGACTGCACTTTTAGTTTTAGATATATGATCTTAACAGCGAATCCCCATATTTTCTATATACGATCCAAATATTCTCACAAATTTTAGCTTAATAATTTTGATGTTCTACCTCTTCTCACTTGCTCTCTATTTATGTTTGCTAATTTGCAGATTTCACAGAAGATAAGAGCACCTCTGTTGTAGTAGGAAAGGGTGGTGTCAACGTTGATGCTGGAAAAGGAAAGCCCGGAGGCACCCATGTCGATGTTGGGAAGGGTACTGGAGTGCATGTGGACGCTGGAAAGGGAAAGCCTGGAGGCACCAATGTAAACGTCGGGAAGGGCGGAGTGCACGTGGAAGCCGGAAAAGGAAAGCCAGGCGGTGGCACTAACGTGACCGTAGGAGGCAAAGGCGGTGTTGGGGTGAACGCCGGGAAGGGAACCAACGTTGGTGTTGGCAAAGGAGGAGTGTCCGTAAACACAGGGCCCAAGGGAAAGCCTGTGCATGTTGGAGTAACACCAGGACCAAACCCTTTTGTATACAAGTATGCAGCCACGGAAACCCAACTCCATCAAGACCCAAACGTCGCTATTTTCTTCTTGGAGAAAGACATGCGTCCTGGAACAACAATGAAATTGCACTTCACCACGAATTCAAACACGCAAACCTTCGTGCCGCGTGAAATTGCGGAATCCATCCCATTTTCGTCGAACAAGCTGCCAGAAATCTTCAACCAATTTTCAGTGAAATCGGGTTCTGTGGAAGCGGATATAATCAAGGGTACGATTCTAGAGTGCGAGAATCCAGCCATTAGAGGAGAGGAGAAATATTGTGCTACCTCTTTGGAGTCCATGATTGACTTCAGCACTTCCAAGCTTGGAGGAGGAAATGTTCGAGCAATTTCGACAGAAGCCGGGATAGGAGCCACTTTGCAGAAGTACACAATAGCTTCTGGAGCGAAGAAGTTGGCGGCGGATAAGTCCGTCGTGTGTCACAAGCAGAACTATCCCTATGCTGTTTTTTACTGCCATGCAACAAAAACAACCAGAGCTTATGTGGTGCCCCTTAAAGGTGCTGATGGGGTGAATGTTAAAGCAGTAGCAGTCTGCCACACAGACACATCAGATTGGAACCCTAAACATTTGTCCTTCCAAGTCCTCAAAGTCAAGCCGGGAACTGTTCCGGTCTGCCATTTCCTTCCCAGTGATCATGTT